CAAATTTTGCTGCCTATTTTGTTCCATGTTAGCAATGAGCGAAAAAGAAAGAGACTAGATTGAAAATGACGTATTTTGTACTTCTCATTGATATACAAGTTTTGATTGCACTGCGCTGGCAAAATGTAGTTTTTGATAACTAATCAAAGTTGCGGAGGCGTTGGCAGCATTAATTCATCTGGCAAATAAAGTAGAACGACAACAAAGAACTGAGCATTTAACCCCCCTTATTAAATGTTTTCTAGAGGACAGAAATTTCAAAAAATTGTTACCAGTTTCTAAGTCTATCTTTGAATCTCATACTGCTGAATTAATTTATAACACTACGACGAGACGGGCCTGAGACATTTCAAATCTAAAATAAGCTTTCTAGCCCTTAGTCAGCGATGCAGATCTTGTGCCAATTTCTAATGCCATACTGCTATGAGGTTGAAAATTGAGGAACTTAAAGTTGTGAATGAGAGCAGTTGGATATTAATATTTAGAAATTTGGTGAAATTCCCTTGTTCTTCCAAAGAAAGTCTGATGCATCAAGCGGAGTAGAAAAGGTACATTCAGCAGGTTGAAGTTACCAAAAGTAGAGTGTGGGATGTGTTCATGTGTTATGGATTTGACGTGTCTCATTAGTCAGCTGCATTGTTTGCATTTACATAAATGAGATAATCGAATAGGAGATAAGGAATCAGACTAAGTATTGTGTGCAAGAAAAAATGCTTGCATGCAATCTATGTTTCATTCTTTATGAAAAAACTGTTATGGCTAGATCATGTTTCTTCAGCGTGTACGTGTATGTGTGTGCGTGCCTGTGTGTCCAGAAAATTCGACTCCGAAACAATGAAAACTAGTAGCCACAAACTTCAGGACAGCTCCTTAGCGTCAGCAAACTCGCAAATCTAATCACTACTCACATCTCTTCTCTGTTCTGACCAGTGCTTTGAAATCCAAATTCATGGTAATTCCTGAATCGACAAGCAAGAAAATACAGTGGGAAATTTACAAGTGTGAATTCACTGAATAAATTTAGAAAGCGGATTGAAACCAACTTTCAGTCCCCATTTTATGTTCATCTATAATTTCATTTCTAGATCTAAGCTTGTTTTATGATTCGAAAATGAGAGGGGCAAGAAGCCGATCTTAGAGATGCCTGTCTCTTTGCAGAATTAAGCTTTTTCGAAATTAACTTGATCTCTGAATCTACTGAATTACTGAAACTTAAAACAAAGCAAGCCATAACTTCAGAAATTCTAGTGCTTTAAATGCCGCAACGATCTTCTATAAATGTCAGCTTATTCAGCAACTGCAGAAATGCATAGCCATGCTGGCCGGCTGGTACCCAGTACCACTATGACTATCGTTTAGAAGTGATCCGTCTGAATGTACATGGAGCGGACGATGGATGGGTGCGTTTTCAGCACACAATATTTACTGCCGGTACGATAATCATGGTCACTGTGGCTCACTGGATTGCTCCGTCAACGCTTTCTCTTATCAGGTTTTATTAGCTTGTCTAAACCTGTCTTTTTTTTTTTAGTTTTCGTTTGCAATATAATATTTATGGTTGCAATTAGCATCGTGAAAAAAGTTGAGATTTTTTTAACCTGCATATTAGAGTAGTGAGCGAAATTTTTCATCATTTACATGTGGTCGTCAGGAGGACCTGAGCCCTACCAGTTAATCATTTTTAAATAAGTTGAATGGAGCACATTACAAATTTTTGTGGTTTTAAAACTTTGATTCTAATTTGTCAATGTTTTCCCCTGTTATGGCTATTGAATAGTTTTTGTAGGGCGTGGATGCTTTTGTACCCTTGTCGCACTGTATGTATTCCTTGGACTTCTCACAAGACGACTTTGCAGGCACAAAATTCAACCGAGATTGATGGCGATCGGTGCGATCAAATTGCATTGTTT